AAATGTATTTACTGAGATCATTGCATCTTCCCGATTTACCAACATGTGAACAGATCTGAATGGAAGATGTCGTTTCAGTGAACTGATTACTCAACTGTATAATAATAGCCTATTTGTTGGTAATAAGCTTTTAAGGTAGATTTTTAGAAATTTCCAACGATAAGTCGTCGGTCTAATAAAATTCAACCGTGTCAAGAATAAGACAACTGTCACTGCCGTCCTCCAGTTGTCGTTTGGTACTGGTCTGCTGAAGTTGAGTACAACTATTCTAACTTATACAGTGTATATTCTATACAATCCCTATATATATAAAGTTATTAGTGATTCGATACTTGTAATAAGTATTGATTCAAATAAGAACAGCACCATTATCAGTGTAAGATAAGTATGAAAAGTGATATAAATCAGTGTTTTCCTCAGCTTATTTTTATTTCAAGAGAAGTATTTTGTATCGAATCCTAACTTTTGAAGTATTGCAAACGAAATTTTGAGATGTTCTAATATAGGATCAAAAACTGATTGTCAATAATTTTATATCAGTATGAGGATTCGTGGAGACTGTAGTACTTTGACAGTTGAATTTATGAGTCAATCTAAGCTAGACTACCATTGAAAACCTGGAAGCACTAGACGACCTGCTAAGTAGTCTAGAAGTTGAACGTTTGCGCGCCAGACCGAAGATCCTGAGTTCGAGTCCCACGTTCAGGATCGTGGTTGCGCACCGTTGAGGAGTCCCATACTAAAACAAAATGGCCGTTCAGTACTTCTAGGTTTTCAATGGTAGTCTGTCTTAGATTGACTCGTGAACTGAACTGTTAAAATAATTTTATAGTCGATATCAGTTTGCTTATATAAAAATCATCCTCGACTATTACAAATTCAGCGTAAAATTGTTCATTTGAAATCAATAGGTAACTAATACATGTGATGTGCCCCACAAACTTTTGCCTAGTTAGCTGTTGATACTAATATTTATGAACAGTACCATACATAGTTAGCAGAGATGGATAGTGGCTAGCAGTGGAATCCAGGACGCGCGTTTCGTCCCATTTGGGACTCGCCAGCTGGATGTACCTGCCACTATCCATCTCTGCTAACCATTTATTTATTTATTTATTTAAACACATATATATTGGTACAAAAGGGCACCAGGTACATATGCGCCACACAAAATAATGAAAGTAGGAAGAGAAGGGATGAAAAGATAAGGCGGACTAAAATGTACAACCAGAAGACTCTTTCAAATAGGAAAGTAAGAACCATACTTTATGTAGAAAGTAAAAGAAGGTTGCAGCAGGATCGCCACTGACTTCTATTCTGAGCCATATCCGATAACGTCTCTAGCCACTGTGTTGCACCATCTCTCGGACCCCAACCAAGGAGTCGTGAAGGACCAACGGAAGCTAGCCCTTTGCAGCTCTCTTTCATGCCACGACACCATGTCATACACTGACCTCCTCTCCGCTTTCTCCAACCAGTCCCAGGGTCGGCAAATAATGCACGACTTGGAAGTCTCTGGGACGACATTCGTAAAACATGTCCGAGCCACCGAAGTCGGTGTTTCAAGATGGTGACACCAATTGAATTATCGTCTCTGTGCCCGAACACACGATGCCGAACCTCTGCATTACTAACATGGTGTTGCCACTGTATGTCAGCAATCCTTCGGAGACAACGATGATCGAACACAGAGTCGTCTAACATCCTCAACTCGGAGAGGCCAGGTTTCACAAGCATAGAGCAAAACTGCTCTCACCGACGCGTTGTAAATCCGACTTTTTACAGCCAGACTAACATCACGAAGGCGCCAAAGATGGCCCAGATTGGCATAAGCCGATCTGGCTTTCATTATACGTGCATCAATCTCATCACTCACGCCACCACCAGCACTTATATAGCTACCTAGATACACGAACTTCTCAACTACTTCGATCTCCTCACCATCCAGGGTGAGTACAGGATGAGAATCCTGCCAGTCTTGTAGAAGTACTTTGCACTTGGAGGGTGCAAAGCACATGCCGTACCTACGGACACTGATTGCCAACTGATTAAGTGCTGATTGCATGCCTTGGGCATTATCATCGCACAGTAAGACAATATCATCCGCATACTCAAGGTCGAGAAGTCGTTCTCCAGGCAACATATCCACACCGCCATTACTTACATCCACCAGAGCTGTTTCTAGGATGTCGTCGATGGCAAAGTTGAAGAGGAATGGTGAGATCGGGCAACCCTGCCTAACCCCACTGCTCGAATGGAACAAGGGAGAAAGGTGGTTGTATGCCCTCACTCTGCCTGAGGTGTTCGTGTACAGGGCCTTTAAGATGTTAATGAACTTCTCAGGCACACCCTTCTTCAATAGACAATCCTAGAGAACAGTCTTGTCCAACGAATCGAAAGCAGTCCTGATATCAAGAAACACTACGATTGTTGGCCTGCGATAAGTATGACGGTGTTCTAACATTTGGCGGAGGGTGAAGATGTGATCAATGCATCCTCGACCAGAACGAAAACCAGCCTGCTCCTCGCGAGTCAATCGTTCTCGGGTTTTAAACAACCTACGAAGAATGATAGAAGCCAATAGTTTGGACGCGATCGAAAGTAGACTTATCCCCCGGTAGTTATTGCAGGAACAACGCGAACCCTTTTTAAAGATAGGGACGACTATTGACTCATTCCAAGATGTTGGAACACTTTCTTGCTCCCAAACCTTTCCAAACAACACAGTCAATTCCTTAGTCAGAAAGTCACCACCATCTTTAAAAAGAGCCGGAGGTAAGTCATCTGGGCCAGGTGATTTATAACGTTTCAAGAGTTGGAGTTCCTTGCAGACTTCCGCCTCGTTTGGTGGATCAGTCGTCACCGGCCATGGGGAGCAGGACAAGCTGGTTGATGTTGCCGGAGCAGCAGGCCAGTTGAACTGCCCTCTGCTAACCATGCTTGCGAATTAAGGTATATCGAGGCAATACGCACAGTATGCACATATGCCAATTAGAGACTGACCAGTTGCAGTCCTAACAAATCGATGGGAAGATTCAAACAAACAATACTAAGTACCATACATGTTTAAAATTTAGTAGCATTTTAATCATAATAGAACGACAAAGTAGCATAAATCTATCTTTAATAACAACAGAAGCGAAGGATTATTGGCCAATCAGCAACCTGCATACTTATCTCTGATTATTTTCTTGTTAACTTCCAAACAAACCTTCAAATTTGAAGATAATTCAAATCTTCCCCCCTCTCTAATTCATTTATTCAGGATTAACTAAATAATTAAATAACGATTTTGTCTAATTAATTAATTAATCAACTCTGTGAAATACTTGTCCTATTCTAAATTACAACTGAACTTACTCAACACACTTCCATTATATAGAAATATTGATCTAGTTTTACAGTTTCATCTTCGAAACTTATTACATAGTCCTATTCAACTCAGAATACATTACAACACAATAAGTCAGTGTTCAGTGTTTCGACAGTTGAAATAAATCAATTTGAGATCATTTTTTAATCATAACAAGACACATTGACTACAATTTATCAGTATCCATGTGTAAGAAGTCCGATAGGATGAACAGTGAAAATTCTGTCACAGTTTAAAATTCAATAATATCTTTATGAAAATATTTTTCATTTAAGATAAACAAAACATCGAATTAAAGATAATATACAGTGACAGAAATAAAAATTTGGTTACCTTGATCAAAGGTGAATAATTACATTGTATGAACCATTGTAAATAATTAATATGTTAAGTATTATCTCTGGGTTAATTTCTTGTTTAAATATGTTGATACGCAGATAAAGAGAGAATCCAAGTGATGAACTCATGTTAGGTCGACCATCATTGAAAACCAGTAAAAAATGAATAGTTGTTTCGGCCTAGTACGGGACTCCTCAGCAGGATAGATGAATAATTGAACCTATGACATTCTGTCTAGAGCGCGAATGCCTTATTTCTAGACAAATGGGCCGACACCTGATAGTGGAACTCGTGATTTCAACTATGAAAGTTCTGCAATCTTCATAGAATCCCCTATACTGATAAAAATGTTAATAGTTGAGTTCCTTAGTCGATGTAATCCAGAACACCATTGAAAACCTGAAAGTACTGAATGGCTGTTTCGTTCTAGTATGGGACTCCTCAACAGTGTGCATCCACGATCCCTCACGCTTTTTGAGTCAAATATTATTACCGTCAAATGCCGGATCAATGGTCTGGAGGTTAAGCGTTTACGCTCCAGACCGTAGCGTAGACCCTGGGTCCGAGTCCCACGAGCGGGATCGTGGGTGAACACTGTTGAGAAGTACCATACTAGGACGAAATGGCCGTTTAATTCCTCCAGGCTTCAACTATTAAATTGACTACAATCTCCACAAACCCCCATTCTGATGATAAATATGTAAATGTTGGATAGTTACTAATTTCAGCCTACTAAGCAGCATTCTAATTACTAATTCAAATGAATCTTTATTCCATTTACTATAACTGGTGTGCATAAATAGAACATATTCTCTAACCCCTGGTACATATGTAGTACAGTATATACGTGCTAATTAATTTCACGTCCGACTTTAGTTTCTTACATTTGTTGGAATACCAAATAAAACTTCACCACTTCATTCATATGACCCTAACCGGTAGTCATTTCAAATCGACCAATCAAAATGTTTGGGAATTCCGATTGGTTCAAATCGTACAAGCAGTGTTTTCAAACGAATATTCTATTAGTATCAGTTGACCTGGTCAACATTTCAAATAGACAACAGAGAGAGTAAGAGAGAATGAGAAAATGTTAAACTTCCGGATTAATAATACAATTTGTTTAGAATAAAATACAGTAGTTTTATTTAAACTTATACAACTAATTATTGAACATCAACCAGACAAGTACTGCTTTTCAAAATCCCAAAACACAACTGAAAAATTTAACGTCTCTTGTGGAGATTAATGAATATCTACAAATTTATTCACATCAATTTAATGTTATATGATGAGAATGAATAGATTATTGCATAATATAAGATATTCATTTAAACTAACATTGTTATTAATAGAAGTGTTAGTATTGTTAATCGTAATTGTACACTGTCAATTGCCAAATGATATTTCAACCTCGTGGATGGAAGAACGGTTATTCGCTCGAGCACGTTGTAAAGCTAACTGTTTGAGATTATTTAATAATCCGGAAGAATCAAAAGCATTTCGTGTAAGTTAATAATCAACTATCTTTAAATTCATTTTTAATAAAAATAGCTAACCACATTATAATCTCACTGAGTTGATATTTGATTTGTGGTGATATCTGACTGGATAATAATGTGAGAGGTTTCGCACTTGGCATATAGTAATATGATCTGACTGATATTAATAAGTATAGATAACTGTTTATCTATTTATTCAGAAGAAGTGGCTTATGTTAACTCAAGAAACGTCAAAAATACAATTTTTCTACTCATTGGGATATGATAAAAATATACTTATTATTAACCCTCTACTCAATGCTCAATTCGTTAGAAACTATTAGGTCCAACTTTAATATTGATATCTATGGATATTATTTCTGTCCGTATAAATCCCTGATAGCAGTTTGATAAATATCAAAGTCTTATGAGTTGACATTCAAAATTTACATAGTTACAGCCAATGTTCATATAATCATTAGTCCTCAAAGCATTGCAAACTGATAAGCCATTGATTATACAATATAATACATTTATGTATTATCTATTTCTTACCACAATATAATGCATATTCCCAATTACTTTAGTGTTATGAGTTAAGGTGTTTCCAGCACTCATCATCAAAATCGTTTTGCTTATTTAGAATTGTATGACGGTGTATTTCCTAAAACACAATTAAATTAAATTTCACAGTAGTGAATTTTCTTTTCAGCAATGTTATGTAATTAAGCTATACAATTGTATTTATGGTTATGATTGTGTATGATAGTCTATACTTGAATACAAAGAATGGTCTATCAATTTTCTAATGTTCAAAGATGTTCACTTTTCTTAGATAACATCTGTTTATTATCATTAGCTTTATTCAGTATTATATTTTTGGCACAAAAGAATTCTCAGCACAAAGTATTTCAGCGAGTTTCCGTTTATTACATCTTGATCGATCCTAACGATAAATATTGAGTGATCACCAATTAGAAGTTAGCAGCCCATTCAATCGACATCTGAAGAATGTACATTCTTTTCGCTGCATATTGACAGCAACCACGATATCTCCGATTAGGCCTTTTGTGACCTTTACAATGAAAAGCTGTACAGTTTTCAGGAACGCATCTGAATAGGTTGTGCGATTAATAACCACAATGGTGTATTAGAACAAGCATAATTAGATAGATTATGGGAACAGGTAGTCCAGATGTTTAAACAGGCCACCACGTTTTGACTGTTGACTAATAAATGTGAAAATAACTATAAATGCAGCTGCACAGCTTTTATAAATGCCATCATTGAAAATGGTCTTACACTGAAATGCCTTTATTAGATTGAGTAATTTAATGAACTTTCAATATCTTAAAAATACATTTTAAATAGTATGTAACGGATATATATTAATTAATTGATTCGATTTCCGAAATGATCAATTAAATATTTGAACCTCCACTCCTGTGTTTGTCTACTTTTGTTAAAATAGCCGTTTCGTAACATCACTAAACTTCACATACAGTTTAATTGAAGGTTAAATGTACTGACCACTACTTGACAGGCAAGATCCAATATTATGTATTTCGTCTCAGTAGTTCAAATTATGGATTAGTCTTAGCTAGACAGGCTTGGGGAGCCAAGAGGCATTGGATGGATAGCTTATATTAGAGTGGAAACCCTCAACGGTGCGCAAGCGTGGTATCACAACTAGAAGCTTTAGGAACTGCTGCTAGTGCTTAACCTTTCGGTCACTGAGTTAGAATGAAGCGACCTACGTGTTTGATCACCAGAAACCCGCAATATCTTCGGATGATATTGAAAAGTGACTGATTCATACCGCACATAGTTGAACTTCATGTGTTACAGCTTCTCAACAATTTCCATACATCGTATGAAGTTTGAAGTAAAATTAATACTCAGCGATGATGATAAGGTTTGGTTATGAACAAGGAGATGTCGTGTACTGCTAAAAGTATGAGGAAAACCGTCACTTCCCAATCTCTCACACTTTAGAAGGATAATTATTGGAGATGCGTAAAGAAAACTGGATTGTTGAGGATCTTAGATACCCGATAGCGCGACCGCACAGGTCAAGTAGCAAATGCTTTAAGCCCATAATAGACAGCAATATATGTGAGAATTTTCTGTGGTAGCTCCGTGCTTTGAAAGGCCCTTTAACCGAGTCGGAAACCGGCGGGGTGAAACAAGGTGTGAACTGCATGGTATTCACCTTTCCTACTCTCTTCCTTCTGTTGTGAGAGGGTAGCGTCACCTTAGATTCCGGTTATCTAAAGGGAGAAATAATTAATTAATTATTTATTTATTTAAACACATAAATATTGGTACAAAGGGGCACCAGATATATATGCGCCACACAAAACAATGAGAATGGGAAGAGAAAAGGGGTAAAATGCATATATATAAGAAAAAATAGAAATGAAAATAACGAAGAAAAAATGGGAATAATGATGGAGGAAACTGAAATATACAACCAGAAGACTCTTTCAGTTAATGAAGTTTTAATCACTCTTTATGAAGAAAGTAAAAGAAGGTTACAGCAGGATCGCCACTGGCTTCTATCCTGAGCCATATCTGATAACGTCTCTAGCCACTGTATGCACCATCTCTTGGACCCCAGCCAGGGAGTCGTGAAGGACCAACAGAAGCCAACTCTTTGCAGCATTCTTTCATACCACGACACCATGTCATACACTGACCACCTCTCCGCTTTTTCCAACCAGTCCCAGGGTCGGCAAATAATGCACGACGTTGAATTCTCTGGGACGACATTCGTAAAACATGTCCAAGCCACCGAAGTCGGTGTTTCAAGATGGTGACACCAATTGAATTATCGTCTCTGTGCCCTAACACACGATGCCGAACCTCTGCATTACTAACATGGTGTTGCCACTGTATGTCAGCAATCCTTCGGAGACAACGATGATCGAACACAGAGTCGTCTAACATCCTCAACTCGGAGAGGCCAGGTTTCACAAGCATAGAGCAAAACTGCTCTCACCGACGCGTTGCAGATCCGGCCTTTTACAGCCAATCTAACATCACGAAGGCGCCAAAGATGGCCCAGATTGGCATAAGCCGATCTGGCTTTCATTATACGTGCATCAATCTCATCACTCACGCCACCACCAGCACTTATATAGCTACCTAGATACACGAACTTCTCAACTACTTCAATTTGCTCACTATCCAGGGTGAGTACAGGATGAGAATCCTGCCAGTCTTGTAGGAGTACTTTGCACTTGGAGGGTGCAAAGCACATACTGTACCTACGGACACTGATTGTCAACTGTTTAAGTGCGGATTGCATGCCTTGGGCATTATCATCGCACAGTAAGACTATCATCCGCATACTCAAGGTCGAGAAGCCTTTCTCCAGGCAACAGATTCACACAGCCTTTACTTACATCCATCAGGGCTGTTTCCAGAGTGTCGTCGGTAGCAAAGTTGGAGAGGAATGGTGAGATTGGGCAACCCTGCCTAACCCCACTGCTTGAATGGAATAAGCGAGAAAGGTGATTGTATACTCTTACTCTGCCTGAGGTATTTATATACAGGGCTTTTAAGATGTTAATAAACTTCTCAGGCACACCCTTCTTCAATAGACAATCCCAGAGAACAGTCTTGTCCAACGAATCGAAGGCAGTCCTGATATCAAGAAACACTACGATTGTTGGCCTATGATAAGTATGACGGTGTTCTAACATTTGGCGGAAGGTGAAGATATGATCAATGCATCCTCGACCAGAACGAAAACCAGCCTGCTTCTCGCGAGTCAATCTTTTTCGGATTTTAAACAATCTACGAAGTATGACAGAAGCCAATGGTTTGGACGCAATCGGAGGTAAATTTATCCCCCGATAGTTGTTATAGGAACAACGTGGACCTTTTTTAAATATAGGAACAACTATCGACTCATTCCATGACTTAGGAACACTCTCTAGCTCCCAAACCTTTGGAAGCAACGCAGTCAATTACTTAATCAGAAAGTCACCACCATCTTTAAAAAGAGCCAGAGGTAAGTCTTCTGCGCCTGTTGATTTGTAGCGTTTCAAGAGTTGGAGTTCCTTGCGGACTTCCGCTTCGTTTGGTAAATCAGTCGTCACCAGCCATGGACGGCAGTACAATCTGGTCGATGTTGCCGGAGCAGCAGGCCAGTTGAAATGCCCTTCTAAAAATTCCGCCCATCGTCCAAGACGTCGAGAGACGTTAGTGATTGGCATCCCATCATCCTCATAGATTGTTTCACTCACACCAGACTTCTTGCTGCCAGTGGCTCGGATGAGTTGGAAGAGCTTCCGGCAGTTACCAGATGCAGCTGCTGCTTCCATCTCATTAGCACGCTCCGACCACCAGGCTTCTCGGTCCTCACGCAAGCTTTGCCCAATGTCGTTGCGTAACAGCCTTCGTTTGTGGTCAAACTCACGGTCACCCGGAGTAGACCGACGGGCTTCCATCAGTTGTAAGAAGTCAGAAGAAACCCAGTGCTTGTAAGCGGGACGTTTCGCGAAGCCGCAAGCGGCTTTACTCGCCATTTTCATGGCGTCGTGAAGAAGCAACCAATGCTCATCTATACTTTTTGGTGGGGTGGTAGCTAGCCTAGAGGCTAGCTCCGCTCGATACTTACTTGCAACAGAAGTTGCAGCCAGTTTACTAATATCAATCCGTTGGTGGTGGTCAATCCTTCGGCCACTGAAAAGTAAGGTGAGATTGGCGCAGACCAGGGCATGATCAGACTCCAGATAGGTACTCCAAAAGGAGCGGCAGTCTCGTACACAACCACGCCAGCGGTAGCTGATCGCGATGTGATCAATCTGAGTCCAGGCTTGGGATGCAGAGGGAGGACGCCAGGTGGCACACCGGCGATGACTGTGCCGGAAGTTAGTGCTGGCCAGAAACAGGTTGTGGTCTGTGCACAGTTGCAGCAAACGGTCCCCGTTATCTGTCCTGCGACCAACAAGTCCCCATCAGCCACCTAAACGACTCTCTTCTGTGCCTAGACGCCCGACCTGTGCATTCAAGTCTC